TTTTAAATAAAATCCTGGTTTATTATAATTCAAATTACACAAGCGCGTTAAAGAGATTTTAGCTGGATTTTTCTTTTTTTAAAGACAGAACTGCACCATTTTAAACCACTGCAACAGAATATAAAGCAACAGTTCTCTTGCATCGTGCCCCTGCTGCTCCGCTTCAGGAAAGAAAGGCACAATGTTTCAAGGTAAATAATTAATGGAAGTATCAAATCAAGACTTTGTGCCTTCAGTAAGCTAAGTAAATTTCGCATACAGCATAACTCCTTTAGCTCAGCCACGGGTTTGTCACGAAAAACCTATATTCTTCATCCTTTAACCATGACGTTTATGTTGCCACAATGCAATTCGTAGTTCTTTAGCAAGGTCAAGAACAGCTATGGCTTTTAAGGTGAAAGCCTGAAGTATCGCACTAGCAGTTAGTGAAACTAAGACGCTAAGACACATTTACCTTCCAAAGCCAGATTTATTCATAAGTTATTTAAGCTAAACTCTAATCACACCAAACAGATGATAGATGAAAAGTAGTTCCAGTGAGGAAAACAAAGAATTTTGGTTTTCAAACATTTTAAATTAAGAAATGTGCCAGCTGCCATTTTAGTGGCAAAAGAGACCCTCTCCTGCAAGCGATAAGGGTTTTTACTCAGCTAAAACGTGCAAAGAAAAAAGTCTCAAAGTGAGAGAAATGTCCCTAGTTCATACCGGACACAAGGGAATAAAATCCTTATGAATGAATTCCTTTAATCTGTTTTCTTGTCAGAAACTTCTGTGGATCTCTCTGCAGCAATTCCATTTGCAACGCCATTGCTTTCAAACTGCAAACAAAACACAGCATCATTAATGGGATGTCAAAAAAGGGCTCTACACCCAGAACAGTACCAGTTGCTGATGAAAGTTACTTTTAGAAGCAAGGCCAGTGAAGAGCTATGAAGAAATCTGCAGCGAGAACCAAAGCGATGGATTTACACGTAATTTTTGCTTCGAGGGGCCGGGGGAGGGGGGGGGAGCGAGGGCAGAGACAACACACACAAATCTTTGAATTTTCTCAGAAGAGATAAATATGCACTGCACGATTTACAGACACTAAACCTTTTCCCCCCGTTATGAGTGGCAGAGCTAGCTGAAGAGCGGGGCTTTTTTTTTTTATTTTTAATTCTGCTTCATGCAGCTGGTGTGATGTACCAATTACTCGACTTCTTCCTCCTCGGAAAGAACAGCCAGTCGTTACAAAAAAATTAAATTAACTACGCTGTTTCAGAAAACGGGTGCAATACCTATCCTTCCAAGACCTACCGGAAGCTGCCTGGGAGTAACTGCTGTTTCCAGCCGGCTCAGTACTCCCTTTTTGTAAGAAAATAGCCACAAAAACATCTATAAAAACAGCCAACGATTCACTCTTTTGCGGTGCCCGCCCTGAACTATTGCTAGGCGTTTTACCGGGAGTTAGCGAAGTGATTAATCTTACTTTATAAATTCCAGACTCATCCTCCCGGTCTCTCTTCGTGGCTGAAGGTGCCCGTGGGTTTCCAGCGCTGCCTCCTTGACCTTGTGTGGCGGCTGTTGTTTCTTCCACCGCTTTCTTGGGCCATACGCGCTTAATGAAGGGCGCGATAACGGGATAGATGTACGGTTCAAGGAATTTCTTGTAGACCCAGAGGAGAACGGGAATGACGATACAAGGAATGCACACCATGGCTTCCCCTTGTTCTGCGCCAAAGCTGGTGAGGGAAGAAAACCCAACAGCTTAGGATGCGAGCGTCTGTAACGCCATGAGCTAAGACAACGAATAAAGATCGTCGTTGATATTCAAACGTAAAGGATTCTTTAGTAACAGATTAACTGCTAAAGTTTCAAAAACGCTGTGTGTGTTCCAATGTTGCAAAGTCCTCAACGCCAAGGGAACCATTCTTGACGTTTTAACGGAAAAGGGAGGAGAGTTTGCATTAATTCATCATTCCTACAGCTGGCGCTTAGAAAAGCGCATGCAGAAAATCAAAGTTTTGGGCTGAAACCGCACAAAAACGGTTTAAGCCGTGAGCCGCAGGTGTTAGCCCCGTTCTTGCTCTAATAAAACAGAGGGTCCAAAAGGTTTGGTTTTCCCATTCCCTCTTTATTTAAGGCGACGTTAAATGGCAGGACTCCACTCAAATCTACCACCGAAGGGCAGGTCGGTGGGAGAGGGGAGGAGAATCCTAGTCAGGATTTGGGAAAAGGAGAATACGGGGTACTTCCTTCCTCCTGCTCAGGAGGAATCGCTCGATCCCACACCGATCCCATGCAATCGGCCAAACTATCGGAAAACGAGGCCTTCCCTCTCTCCCACAAACGGCAGCCCGAAGCCTGCGATGAAAACAGCCGAAAGCCGAAGCGCAGAAGGGAACAACGGGGAGGGGAAACAGTGGAGCAGGATTAGGGCGGTCCCTCTCCGTGCCGATCAGCGACGCGTTAGATACGCTCTGCTGCGCGGCACAACTTTGCCCTTCGCTTTCCTCCTTTCTAGGCTGCCGACACCTGAATTCTTACGCCAAGGAGCAAACCAAAAGCTTTCCGGGATGGAGGACGAAGAGGCAGACGCGCGCGCTTCGTTTGGGATCAGAGTTTCACTTTTTTTTTTTTTTTTTTTTTTTTTTTTTAAAGCTCTCCTAAAGATTTTTTTTTTTTTTTTTTTTTTTTTTTTTTTTTTTTTTTTTTTTTTTTTTTTTTTTTTTTTTTTTTTTTTTTTTTTTTTTTTTTTTTTTTTTTTTTTTTTTTTTTTTTTTTTTTTTTTTTTTTTTTTTAAAAGCTCTCCTAAAGATTTTCGGCCCCAGGCCCTGCGGAACGAACGGAGTTATCAACTTCCAGCTGGCTACTTCCAAGTGTCGTTTCGGCTGCTCCCAACCTCGCTTCACAGGACCCGCTCGTCTCCGAAGCCAGCGAGGAAGCTTAAATCGAAGCAACGTGAGCGAGGTCATCCCTTAAAGCCGCTCGGAGAGACCATTCCGGCGCTCTCCCCGCCAGGGCTTCCCAGGCGCTGAATTATTCAGCGAGGCGGTGCGGGTTCGTCCCTTAGCCGAAAAAGGTGGCTGGAGGGAACCCCCCCCCCGGGGCTGCCTTTCTGAGGGAACGGCAAGCGGGCG